AAATGTTTTTAACTCACTATGCCCAGGACTGGGGGGCACGCGGTCGCGTAGTTGGTTGAGACACTGTTACAAGCCGGAAGGTCGAAGGATCGAATCCCGATGAGGTCACTGGATGTTTTTCAATTTACCTAATCGTTCCAGCCTCACCTTGGCCCTGGGGTCGACTCAGCCTCTAACAGAAATTAGTACTAGGAATATTCTTGGGGGTAAAGGGCGGCCGCCGCGTAGAGCTGACAACATTGCCGCCATCTATGAGCCGATTGTCTAGAAAATGTGGGAACCTCAACATCTCACAATCCTGTGGGCCTCCACGGCCTGTTACAGGGATACCTTTACTTTTTTTATACCTAGGACTGGTGTTTTAGTGACACGTTATACTGAGAGTACGGATATAAATCCTCGTCAACGATAATGGGTAAGAGATCCGGATACTGGACGTAGTGAAGAAGAACTGTTCTGAGGGAATACCCTATGGCTGAGAAGTATGCAGGCCTACGATTAAAGGAATACAAATCAATCAATTTAACTAGTCCCGTAAAACGCGGTCTCATGAAAACGACTATAACTGGCATTCATGAATTTCTTAAAACCATCATTAGGAAGAAAAGGTACCAGTCCCATTTTGACAATACCAAGAGTCCACCACCGGACAGGATCTCGAGCCACTTCCATTCTCCCTGAACTTCATTTGAATATTATCCTCCAGTCTTCTTCGTGGTTCTTTAAGGGACCGTCCTAGACAGAAATCTGTATGCATTCCTTGTCTCTACATTCTCATCCCCGCTTGAATTCCGTTATTCTACTAATATAACAATATAGGTCACAACGGCCATTATGTAACGTACCCTAAACTCATCGTTTACTTCATTTTAGGTCAATATCCTCTGTTTACCAGAGCAATTTGTTTCCACATTCTTGTAATCTGTTATTCCCTGAAATAAGAGTTTCTACATTTGACACCTATGCCAAACCACCAGCAGAATTATACTTTTGAAAGTCTTCAGCGTTTTGTGAAATACGAAGGGTGATAAACGTCTGTCGAGAATTCATTCTTTTACTGGTTTCATCACAAACATCACTTCTACGTGTAGTGCTGTTCCTTGATGCTTAAAATCTTAACTATTCTCATATGATTTAAAGAAAAACTAGTGTCAGTTCATTGTGAACTAGTTTCTGTTTCTTCTGATATGTTTATTATATAGAATTAAGAATAAACTCATTTTAAATATATAAGCTTCTTTTTATTATTTGCACATACATTAACCAGTGATCTGTGGCGTTCAAATAAACTTGACCAGAGCTTCAGTTCTTTCGTAATGAACTTAAATATTAACTTCGGTAGTTGAAAATATCGTCCGATGATACAGCCTCGAAGTGACGGTCTACCCGATTTCAGTATATGTTCTACATTGTTTCCATTGGACCCTTCAGAGTAAAATGTAGACCCTGGGTATTATTACATTCCATGAGCGCTGACAAAGGAAGACGCAACTGGTTCGTTTTCTATACTTCACGCCCATCTCTTCCTCCAATTAGACTTTCACAGATACACACTTGAGACACAAAAACAATCCCCATTACTAACCTTTTCATGTTATTAAATACACTTCGTGCACTGCAGTGGTTTGCAATAATACGATTTCTGAAAACTCAGACATATTGAAACAATAATAAATTACATGTATATATGACCACTGTTGTGCGTTATGTCAATCATGTTGCATCCAAACTCAGTTTCAAACTGTAAGATTCAATTTTGTTTTTCATTTCTATGACAACGTGAACGAAGTTCTAATGAATTAATGTGACATGGTACTGTGGTCATGTACACCAAACTCAAAATTATCATAATGAATTACTATCAAGTGTTAAAATGTACTATCACTGCAAGATGACCCTTTTTGTGTATGCATATCTATATCCCTATACACGCAGGGATTAACACTGTTAGCGTACTTCACCAGTTTACTGCTTGTTCGAAATACCTCCACAAGGGAAACCGTGCATGCCCTTGGCATTCTAATGGATCTGAAGCTGACTTATCATCACATTACAAGATGTAGAAAATACTCTTCTTAATATCATGTGGCATGCCTTTGTATATAAAATTTAATATTTAGTGAAAGATTCTGTCACTCTTTAAATTATGGATCTTTTAAAACAACGTAGATGGTGAATTTCAGCTTATTAGCAATGATTTTGTTGCACATATAAGAGATTTACAGAACATTGTAAAGATACAGTCTTTTGTTACTTAGTCCTTTCATATTGGTAACCTGTTTTGTCAAATCTTATCAGTAATATCAAAAGCGGATTCGGTGTTAATGTTAACATTTATTGGAAAGAATACAGGATATATCACTAACACTCAATTGCATAAAATACAGAATGTTTTGTCAGTGCTGAGATGAAGTTTCATACTTTATAAACAAACCACATTTCGTGGACTACACCACACACAATATTCCAGTCACAAATAAACTGTATGGAATAAATTCTTTCTCTAAGCTGAAAACTTTTTAGCAAATATGCCTTCTTGTTTTGTATACTTCCATTGTGATTGGTATTCAAACACATGTTAAACTGAGATACCAAGAGATGGCAGGAGAGATTTTGTTTGATGTCACACACCAAATATACACAGGAGAAACTTCATTCCACCAAATTCTCCATCATCATAATCACCCGGTGCAGGCTACAATAGGCCATCAGTGGCCGCCGTGCTGAGGGGACCCAGTTTTACTCCACCCCCCACTAAGCGAATTAAAAAAAAATTACACAGGAGAAAAATGATGGGTTTCAAGTTTATGTTATCTTGTTCGCAACACTGAAGAGGTTACGATGTTTTTTATACAGACAGCTTGGTTAGAATCATTGCAGATAATGTGCCAGCGTCAAATAAATAATAATATTTAAGTAAAATTCAAATAACAGCCATCTAATCATAACAAACATTTGATGACGGGAGCAGATCCCACCCATATTAAATTAAACTCGAATGTTGTCATCAGAAGTATTATTCTAAATATAAGAGGGGTGTTACATATGCTCTGGTAGATCTGTTTTATTAGATGTGACTCTTTTGTTTAACATTCTTCAAATGAAATTTTCCCTTAACATTAAGGTAAAAAAGTAAAGTTGTCCCCGTGCTTCACTAATTACGCACTACGCCATAAATACTTATGAGGGAGTGGATGTATTGACCCATGTTTTCTTGACCTAAACACTAGTTGGAGGTTGAGTGCTCAGCTTCACGCTCCGCCGGCTTTACCCCCGGTATCCATTAGATAAGAGGTTGGGTGGACCCCAGAGCCGGTCTGGACGACATGGAGAAGTGAAAATTCTTTCCCACATCGGGATTCGAACTCGACCCCTGGTCGACCAGCCCATAGCCAGTCGCTATACCAACTGCGCAATCCCGGCTTTTCCCTGAACAGTATAAATATAATTTAATCTGACATAATTAAAACCAACTGAACTTAAAAACATGTCTGATATTTAAAAGGCTAAATACAGTAAATGAGCTTTTTTGACTGAAGATTCAAGTAATTTTTTAGGTGTTTTGTTCTTATATTGTTTAGCATACGTGTAATTATTTTAACGCATCCAAGAACGAATAAAATGTTATAAAGCAGCGTGATGTGTACCCACGTCTTCTGAGATGCTTTGTTGGGCAGTGGTGTATCGGAAGGGAACATCAAATTTAGCTAAACACGTTATATCAGTTGCCAGAATTTGGATAGACCTGCATTCATCGAATGTGACCACACTTCCACATTTGTTCCGCCCAAATATGGAAGTCATTCTCGTTACTAGGAATTGGAATGGAAGTTCAGAAAAACTCTACATCAGCCAACTGGTGGTAACATTAAAGTTGGAAAGAAACAAATGACCATCCAGCTCGTTTACTGGATCTCTAGTTACATATATCTACATTACTCTCAAAAGCACTACATAAACAATTCTATTACGTTCTATGTAACATATTAATTTTTTCTTCTTTCAGTTGACAAGTTACATGGCTGCGGAGTCCAAGACTTATGTGGTCTCAGACCACATGTATTCAATTCCCACCCAGAATGTCTGTGGGGATTCTCTACTGTTTTGTCCTGTGCAGGTAAGAGGCTTGTTATGGACTACTTCCACATCCAAGGACGTTTACGAAATGGTGAAGGATTCATAGTTTGAGAATTAATTCTGGGTTGGAACAGGCTGTGAAAGTGGCGGGAAAAGATTTTATTGGTCTTCACTACTAGAAAAACTCACGATTTCTAACCATTTCAACGCAACTGTGTTCTAATAAAAATATTAACATCAAATAAATATTTTTCCAAATATAGCTGAACTAAACTCAAACAGTATTCTGGTGGTAGACCTACACAGTGACATTATATGTGGATATAGGATATACAGGTAAACATATTCCTTTACTGAAAGTTTTATGTTCACAAAGAGTAACATAAAATAAGTTTCAGATTTTCTTTGGTGAATTATGTTTCCATATGCACTCTTTTAGCACGTATCAAGCGTGACAAAGAACAAAGAATGAAAATTATTTTCTCACAGTTCTGTCATATTATATATAAACTACCTTGCAGCAGTTCTATATGAACAAGAATTAAGAAATCACATAACAGNTATTTTTTCTTCTACCCTGAAGATGGAGGCGATACGTTCCTCCGAAACGTCGGTTAACACCACATATACACGGTGCCAAATCCCAGAAGACTGCTTTCTTCATAGTCACCGCCGTGAAAGCCTCAAATCTTTAATTTTCTTACATAACTTGCCAGTAACTAAATTATGTCTATACCATTCGTTAACGCAAATTCTGATCTAAATCAAGAATTACACTACTGATATCTTTAAATTTGTATTGAGGAATTTTGCCTGCAAGTGATGCCAACGTTGACTTTAGTTTCTTAAGAAGCAGCTTTATATATCTTAGGAAATTTGGAGAAACTAAAATGACTAGAAACTGGACAGAAAGTTACGATTAATCTCTGAACACATTATATGGTTTTGTGAAAGGTTTAACAAAACGTTTACATCACATTCTCTGCTACTTCTTGACCTTCAAGAATCACCTGCATTCCAGAAGGCTTATCATATTAGTGCATAGTGGACACCTGTGTAAACACATGACAAACTACACTAGGACACTTATATTGACATCGGTTACATGGCACTTACAATTCATATTCCATTTCTATTAAATCTACATACAAGCTGGGTTTTTTATGTACAAAATCAGTAAAGTATACAACCTGCATGCTCACATAAGGAACTGGCGGTAAAATAACACTAAATTATATTTACAGTCTTGGTATTTTATACTATTTACAATACATGCACACGATGAAGCATATTTTCTTGCAACAGTTGATTTGGAACATAATTTTCATCTGCCCACATAAGACAAGTGCCTACACATATATAAACGTATTTCAGAAACAATGTCACTCCAATTCCAAAAACTCTGTGGACACTGACTTCTGTGTATGTTAATGTTATTGCTTCTGTGAAGTGCAATGGCGCACACTATTAATTCGGAATGGAACACTGTTTTGCCTTAGAGGCCTGAATACCACATTTATCACAGACATTATTGAGGTTTCCGTGCTAGCTAGAAGATCAGTCTGTGAGATCAAACCTTTTTAACCTTGAGCCTGAGTTCATTACGAGGCCCTTGCGTAGTGAATGACCGATCTAGATCGGACAGACACCACTTCTGGCGCTGCCGTTTCCATGGATTTGAGTATCATTTTTGAGCGTTTTCGTGGTGGCAGAATGAGAACCTCCCTGCTGACTGTGGCGAGATCAACTGGGTCTGGAGAGGTGGAGGGGACAGGACTCACAGGGTTGCTACTGGGGGGTGTCAGGAGAGGGTCTTGCTCATCTGCTGAAACCGAGGGTTCCATCTCTGACTCATCTGCATCCTCTGGTCGTCGTTGCCTGCTGCTGCTGGAGCTGCTACTACTACTGGGGCTGCTGTAAGCAGGCGTCAATGGCAAGCTAATGTGCACAGGCTCCTCCAGGTACTCTGGTGGTGGCAGCTGAAAATGGTATGGCGACGATCGCCGCTGCATTGATGGGAGGGGTTCTGGACACAAGTACACTGAGGGTTCTGTGACGGGCAGTGAAGGCTCCGGTGGGAACTCTTCCTGCCGCTTCCGTAATACTACACTGTCTTCATTCCGCTCTTCTGTGCCGGGAAGAGGTGACAAGCTCCGGCCCTCAGATGCAGCTGCGGCGACAGCAAGTAGAACGGGGTTTACCCCGGAGGAAGAGGACGCCGGAAAACGCTGCTGGTACGGCGTTCCGCCAGGGTACAGATAGTAACAGAGCTCCCGCATATTGGGGTGTGGCTGTGACTGTTCTTGCTGGGGCAACGGTACAGGTGGGGAGAAGGGCACTGCTGTGTTCGGAGAGGCTGAGTCAAACTCATTCTCGACAGGTGGAATCCGGGGCGGATGTTCGCAATCGCTGTCGCTCTTGTTCTCCTTATCACTACTGGATGACGCGCATGATGATTCGCCGAGATCGGTGTTCTGTCGCCCTGTCGAGGGCGCTGCGGGTGGTTGCGGGCTCCGAGCTGTGCTCGAGGGTTCCGAATGACTCTTGATGTGAACTTCCATGGTCTTCTTTGACGTAAATGTCTGGCTGCATATGGTACATTTGTACACTTTTTCTCCGTAGTGTGCCACTTGGTGGAGCTTCAGCACGTGGTTGTAGCCGAACGCTTTGCCGCAAATATCGCAGGAATACGGCTTCTCTCCGGTGTGGGTACGCGTGTGCACCTTCAGTTGTTTTGAGCAGGTGAAGCCCTTGCCGCACGCTGCGCACACGTAGGGCTTCTCGCCCGTGTGGGTCCTCATATGGATGACGAGCTGTCCGCTCTGAATAAAAGTCTTGGCACAGACTCCGCACTTGTGCGGGCGCTCGCCCGTATGGATTCGCATGTGGCGATGCAGCTTGCCACTGTGTTCGAAAGCCCTGGCGCAAATGTCGCACTTGTATGGTCGCTCCTTCGTATGTATGCGTCTGTGGACGCTAAGATTTTCCTTCACGGAGAAGGACTTACTGCAATACTCACACTGGTATGGCTTTTCACCCGTGTGTGTACGGTAGTGACGTGTCAGTCGGGCGGGAACAGCGAATGTCTTGCCGCAAATGTTGCATTGGTACGGATCCTCGCCTTCCTTTCCGTGGGAACGTAAGTGATTCTGATACGTGTTCTTCTGTGGGAAAGTCTTGTGACAGAACGAACACTCATACGCCTTATCTCCCGGCACTGGGGCGGAGGCTGGGGATGCAGACGACTCAACGACGGCGGCCGCCGCAGCCTCCTCGAACGCATGTGTTAGCGAGAAGACAGGCAAATCCGGGCTGCACACTAGCCGCTTGACGGGTGCTTCTTGCTCGTCGGGGTGCTGCTCGGGCACCATGGGACCAGTACACTCCGCACCACCGCAACCTGAACCGTCCTCGGCGTTGAAGTAACCCACCATCTCGGATACTCGGCTCCAGATGTTATCTGAAACAGACGTCATATTATCAGCAGAAAGCCAAGCCACAGAAGTTCTAATTATTTCTAATCACTGATGAAAACAAAAGAAAGCACTTCGGAGTAGAAGACCAATAACGTTCCCTTTCGCAAACTTAAGGTTGTAAATGCAGCACATAGCCAATACGTATTTATGCCCGTACACATATTTTGGCATTACTCTAATGCACTTAAATAAAATGAATTACTAATTCCTATAAAAATACAAAAAGTATATAAAATCGTTGCAGTCTGGTATTTGGCAGCTATTATTTTAAATTCCAAAACATTTTTAATAAATATGGAGCAACTCAATATGCCATGTTACAAAGGACTTCTATACTTAGCGGATTTGTGCCACATCCTACTAAAACTGCCACTTCCACACCGTTATCAGTAACACAAAACTGACACCTCTCAGGAATTAATGTTTAATATTTTTAATGTTTTTTATATCTGTTACGTTTAGTACATATATTTTTGTTGAACGTAAATAGCGTTTTGCGTTTGTGCATAAATATGGCTGCAAATATCTTTGTTGCTGTTCTCATTATGAACGTAAATACCTTATCAGTCAAAATAAATATAAATTAATAATTTGACGACCATGGATTTTCGTCACTAGTCAGATTTATGTGAGGGGGGTGTATTGTAAAAACAATCGGTATTTGTTATTTGCCTCATTGAGATTAATTTTCAAAATCAAAATATTTACTTAACAGATTAGTATAATAAAAACACGGCACGTGATCATTTCACGTGTTGTTGGAATAAATTACTGAAGATATTCAAACCAAAAGTTCTCGAATTCTGGAACTGTCCCGTTAGCTTCTTCCGAATAACTTCTACCACTAAAAGGAGCTATAAAACTGCCGTAATCATAACAAAATACAGTTCGCAGATATGGGACCTTACAATTCTTACCGGGCAATGTATTCGGCTTATAGGCGAGTAACAAATTCTTTATCCATTCCTTTTGCGTTTTTTCCCATATATCCTCCATACTGCACAGCGGTCAAGCAATCTTACAAAGGTATCCGTCGAACTTGCTGCCAAACCACGGACTGAATGAGTTGGGATCTCCGGAGCATTGTATCGGAGTTATGGTATTTACATCGCTTCCCCTACTGACAGCACGTGGCAAGGTAGCCCTCGTAGGAGCAACGCTGGGGGAGTGGCGCAATGGGCACAACCGCTCATGCGCAAACTGATGTCATGACAGAGACGAAAGTATCCGAAGCTTACCGAACGAGTTCGTATCTCCCCCCTCCTAAGTTGCATCCACGTGTGGGCTCCACGAGTGACGGAATAGCTTCCTCGACTTTGGCTTGTGAAAGGTCAGTTCGCGGGCTTGCTTCTCCGATTTAGCTTCCGACCCTAATGAAAGCGAGAGCGGCGCACGAAATGGGTTTCTCACGTAGATGATTCAGGAGAGTGGTATTGCTGTAATTAAAATTAAACAAATGCACTGTTAACAAAACCAGTGTTGACGCCTTATCACCCGAATGCAGTACCCAGAGAACGTGGGGGCCAGGCGGGTGAGAGACTATGTGGCAAGTTCAACTAGCTGGTGACTACCAAACCCAAAATCACTCGCGAAGAAGTTAATGAGCAGATTAAATACTAAAAGTAAAAGTAAAGCTATCCATGTATGAGGCCGTCAAGGCCCATAAGGTTGTGAGATGTTAAGGGTCCCACATTACCTTGACAATCGGCTCAGATTAAATACTACGAATGTTTATTATTTAATCAGAATATTGTATCGTCCCATCTATATTTTAAAAACTAAAGATTATAATATACAAAACTGTGAGTAAAGCTTCGTCTCTCACATTAAGAGAAGAATAGGATGAAGACTGGAACACAGGGCGCTAACGCGAACATCGGCCCGAAGTGGGATGAAGTAACGGAAGGATGGAGAAAATTATATAAGGTGCTTCATAATTCGTTGACTTAATCTCACACTGTTTGTAAGATGAGATGGGCAGTACGTGTAGCAAACATGGGAGAGATAAGAATTACATACAATATTTCCGAATACCTTAAGGGAAGTCCAAATACGTTTTGGCCTACGTGCTTTCTCTATTTCGAAAATATAAAATAAAATAAAAGTAGGCTTGTCAGATAACATTGCTGTGTCTGTGTGTATGTACATCCCTCCCCCCAATTGTTACTAGGCAACAGCTCGTTATACACGTTGCCGCTGCAACGAAAACACAGGCATCGTAAAACTGCTGGAAACGTCGTTTTCTATGCGCTGCGTGTCATATAAACAGGAAAGCTGACCATTACTCGTAGTTCTTCCCAGAACTTCTCGATCCCTTCTCCATAACTTGCAGACCAGTTCCGAGGCTCACCCGGCCTCCTATACAATGGATACCACGGGCTGTTTGCGCGTCGGTGACGTGGCAGTGGCGTGTTGAAGTTAACCAGTCACCCCCCATCTAGCTGTCAGGCTAAGCATGGCGGAGCCACTCATCCCCATATATTACTGAGGTTAAGTATGGCGAAGCTATACCTGGACTCCCTCATATGTCTTTATTACGCGGTACCCAGGTATAATTGTACCTTTTTTGCCTATATCTTCGTGCCACTTTGTTTCATTCCACTTTTACTCTGGCTTGTTTACTGACACTGAAATGTAGATGTGTGTGCAGAACCTTCCAACGAAGTTTTGTATCCTCATCCTTGGCCAGAGATGGACTTTCCGCTATGAAGTATTCTAATGTCTCGTCAAATCGCTGGCACATTCTACATGAACAGTCATCTGTCATTTTTGTATATCATCATCATTATGCTATTATGATCAGCATCGCCTTACCAAGCAGACTACTGTAACGTTAAAGTCTTGGTCAGTAACTGGTTTGATTTCGATCATGCTAACGGCTAGCTCCTATGTTCTCTGTCTCGTCAGGAAAATTCCAGGATATGACCTTAAAATAAGTCACGAAATCATCAATATAGAGTCTTACTACTCACTTCATCCTCGTATCTTATCAGGCAATACTATAATCTATACAGCGAGAACACCGTCGTTAAACAATAGCGACCAACGACTATTACTCTGAAGAAAGCAGTTTTCTGGGATTTGGCACCGTGTATATGTGGTGTTAACCGACGTTTCGGAGGAATGTATCGCCTCCATCTTCCGGTAAAAGCAGACTGGACACCAGTCTGCTTTTACCGGTTCTCACGGTCTCTTCGCTTGCGGTTTTCTTATATTTTTCTTCTACCCTGAAGATGGAGGCGATACGTTCCTCCGAAACGTCGGTTAACACCACATATACACGGTGCCAAATCCCAGAAGACTGCTTTCTTCATAGTCACCGCCGTGAAAGCCTCAGATCTTACAGACTATTACTCTTCTTACAATTTATCGTCTTAATTATCTACTCTCTGCACCTCATTAGGACCTAAGCCTTTATTACCGCTAACATTTCTAAATCATTATTCAAGTAAACTCCCGGATGAGGAAGCACCAATATTTAGCTATATAATTTATGAAGCAGCGGGGAAATAGCGACCGGCTCTTGGGTCACGGCCATATGTGAGCCGATTGTTTAGAAAACGTGGGAGCCCCGAAGTCTCACAACCGTACGGGCCTTCACGGCCTGTTGCAGGTAGCGCTTTCTGTGCCAGCAAGAATTTCCTGAACAACTTACCTTCTTCGTGAATATAATTTTTTATTTCTTACTGTCGTTACCAAATATTTAACCTGAATATGAATACTCAAACAATATAAAAGCTTTCTGTATCACTTGATGGGTTCAACTAAACCCACTGGCAGACATGTCACTGGCATCCTGGTCTTTATTTTAGGAGATGGAAAGGATTCACAGGATTCAAACGGTGATCTTTGTCACTCTCACAGAATACATTTTTCTACATCACGGCTCCTAGAGTTCGACTTTAAATTAAGTTATAGTTTCCTCCTCCGTGGCCTTTAATCCACAAGAGAACTATACCGACCGAGCGACCGCCGCTCGGAGAAGTTAGTGCCAACTTTAGCGGATAGAGGGTGTCGCGTGGTCAACGCAACGAATCCCCATGGCCGTTAATCTCGGTTTTATAGACCTGAGCCGCTATTTCCTTCCTTATGCAGTTGAGTGGACTCCGTTCCAGACCCACTATTTCTCAGAAAATCTGGTAGCAAAGGGAATCGAACCTGGGACCTCTAGATTTGTAGCAAGAACTTTGACCAATAGACCACAGAGGCGGTCCACATCTGGGGTGTATCTCGCCAAAATTTATTAGCGCAAAAAATTGAACAAAATGAAATCCTATACACTTTCTGTGCAGCTCTTACGGGTTTCAGTATAATTAAAAAAAGATTTTTCTTTTATGTTGTGTCATTTCATGACTCGCTAATCGCTGGACTGATTTTACCACATATCGTTCGTTCCGCTATTCTGAAGGCAGCGATGAACGTCAGCATTCATGAATTGACAATCTAGAGGTAATAACAAAGCGAAAAAGCTAGAGTTGTTAATGTATGCGTATATTTATGAACTTCCTCATTTCCTGTTATTCACCGATGCATAATTAACGCAGTGGAAAAGTTGTTGTTAAGTACATTATGATACAAATATCCCCCCCAAACTAGTCAATGTCAGAATACATTTTTCAAATCATTCTAACATTCCGACAATTAAGAGGGGGAAGAAGCCTCCTTAAACGGTCCTGTCTCGAATCCGGTAATAGTGAAAAAAAGAAGTATCATCATAAGCCATGGCCAATAGTTCTTCACATACATGCTCATGTAACTGAAATTATTAAAGTTGCTTTTATGGAAATGCGCGACGAGGATTATTAACGGTGTTGAATCTTGAGTTCTATTACCAAGGAGTTAGCTTTCGTTGATTTGATAATTCGGTAGTTATGCCCCCCGAGACGGTAATTTTTTACTGAATGAAAAATCTCAGGCACAATTAATCGGAATAAAATATGCAGCTGGCCCATAAGGAGCTTAATATTAAATCCGATACCTCTTG